CATATATAAAGAAATATGGCATTATGATATGATGACCCATTAGCAGGTTGAATTTAATGTTTGCACACTACTAATTTATTACCTCTCTCTCTCTCTCTCTCTCTCTCTCTCTCTCTCTCTCTCTCTCTCTCTCTCATGCATTATTCATTCGGAATATTTTGATGGTATGTATGTATGTATGTATGTATGTATGTATGTATATGTGTAAGTATAGATGGGATTGAGGGAGAATTATGTGGGTGACGCAAGTGAAGAAGACTGGCATGTGATCTCCCATTCTTGAATTCATTTATAGTAAGAATGTAAGACACCCTTTTCATTGTTTCTGCTCCAATTCATCACCTCTTTCGTTTAAGACATATATGTGGGTTCTCCTTCATGCCCCAACTTCCTTCCCCACCATCTCTTTTCCTTTTTTATTTCAATAATTTTAATTAATCTATTACGAGTTTTAATGAGGACAAATGAAATGCACGAACTTATTCGAATTCACGTTTTCATAAAGAATAGTGAAAGTTGTGGTAAGTAAATAGCGATTCGAAACTGAACTGGACTGAGTATCAATTGGGACTGCAGGTTTTAACTCAAATTTTTAGAATTTGGATGCGTGTTGACCGAATTTTCAGACTCGTTCGAATCCATGTCTTTCCCACCATCTTTTTTTTTTCTCCATAAATTTCTCTTTCACTTTTTTGTTTTAATAATTTTATTTCATTTCTACTTATTTTTATAATAAATCTTCTTTTGAATATTACAATTTTATAATGATAACAAATGGTACGCATAAACTGATTTAAATCAATACCCTTATAGAGAATAATGAAGATCAAGAGCGAGCAATGGTTCGAAACCAGACCAGACCAAATACTGATTAAGACAAGGATTCTGATTAAATTTTCAGAATTTGAAGGTGTATTAACTAAATTTTCATAATATTAAAACTTTTTGTTATTACAGATTGTTTCAAATTTACAGTTTTATGAAAAAAAAAAAAAATGATAGAGTTAGAGATGACCGATGGTCTGGAACTAGACCAGACCGATTACTAAATAAAGATTGGAGATTCAAATCGAATTTTAAGTAATATCGCAATATTTTAATAATAATAAATGTCGTATACTTATTCAAGTCAACACTTTCACAAAGACTAATAAAAGTTCGAGATAACGGTTAGGGATGTGGGTTCGAAACCAAACTTTCAAAAATGTTGGAGGTGTGTTGACCATGGAGGAGATTTCTAATTTACAAGAAAATTAGGTCAAGGTTGAAAATTGTGCAAACTTGGAATTCAACACTTTCTGATTATTTGTTCTTTTTCAACTGTTTTTACTTTTTGGGTTTTAACTTTTTTACCACTCGGTAAAAAAGTTATTATCACCACCTACACTATCATTACTAAAATAAATACTCATTGTTAATTTACTTGAGACAATTATTCCTTTATACTTTTGTTATTCTAATATATAAATATTTCCATATCTTTACTTTTCTAATATGATCTTTTTCATATATATATATATTTACATATATATACATATATATATATATATAAGACAGTTACTTTGAGATGGGCAGTATTTTTTTACACGAGGTAAGCTACCCGGATAGGAATATTCTGGGTTTAAAAAATAAAAATCTTTAATTTTTAAAAAGGAGCTTAAAAAAAAAATACCCAGGAATAAAAGGAAAAGGTAACCTATATATATATATATATTTATATATATATATGTATGTATATATGTGTGTGTACACATATATTTGTAGTATCTCTCCATTGATGTGTTGAAGTAAGCAAAAGAATGCTTGGTAATTAATTTGCTTGTGGGTATACCTTTCTTCTTTGTTGGTCTCACATAAAATTCTTTACTTGTGATTTATAAAACCCTCACGTATACGTACATACATATACATATATATATATATATATGTGTAAATACTTTTACTTCCATATCGATCATCATTAGCTCCCTAACATTTAACGTTAATTTCTAGCAGATTAACATGGGTGTTCTTGCAGTAATTGCAAAACGTTTGGATGCTCTATTTGGGTATGTCTTCTTTTCTTTGTTAAAATTAAATCTCACTTTCTTGACTAATATGTTCTCTGTATACGTATATATATATATATATATATATATGTGTGTGTGTGTGCATATATACAGTCACGAAAATTTGTCTGAAAAAAATAGAGAAAGCATGTATGGGTTGTTCGTTATGATTAATAGAAAATAATTTGTAAATTATTATTTTCAACAATAATAGGATCTGCTAACGACTTATGTTTTTGTGTGGGAATTACAGACCTGGAGTGATGCTTTTATATCCTCTGTAAGTGAATATATACCGTACATTTGTGTGTATATATATATATATACATATATGTATATGTTATTGGCATGTTAAGAATTTGCTGTAACTAATGAACAGATATGCTTCCATGCGAGCAATAGAGAGTCCTTCAACATTAGACGACCAGCAGTGGTTAACTTACTGGATTATCTACTCCTTCATCACCTTATTCGAGCTATCATTTTGGAAAGTCCTGAACTGGTACTGCATATATATATATATATAATAACCTGGATATATAAACACATACATATATATACACGTACGTGGCTGCTTCATTCTTTTTTCTTTTCCATCTGATTTTAAAGAAGAAGCAAAATCTATGCAGGGTTCCATTTTGGACATACATGAAGCTGGTATTCTGCATGTGGCTGGTGCTTCCATATTTCAGTGGAGCAGCTTATATATATGAAAATTACGTGAGAAAATATGTAAAGATAAGCACTGGGTATGTGGGTTCAAAGTATAGTCAGGATCAGAAAAAGGTTCTGCAGATGCTCAGTCTCGACGGAAGAAAATCCGTCCAGCAATTTGTCGATAAACATGGATGGGATGCTCTTGAACGCGCAGTCAAAGCCGTAAGATCATCTCTTTACTTCTTCTCGTGATTAATTTCACGTTTAATTTGCCTACTAAGTTACTTATCTATAAAAATAATTTATTCTTGGTTTAATTAATTAATCTGCAGGCTGAAAAAGAAGTAAAGAAGCACTAGCAAGGATTAATTTTCACCCAGAGACACCATGGCATGCATATTATACACCTAGAAGCTACAAGGATATGCTGATACATATTTACGTATATCTACCCAGTAAAGTCTTGAAATTTAACTGTGCATTTGTTACGTTATTAGTTAAAAACATGCTGTTAATCCATCATTGATCTGTAAATAAACGCAGATAAGATTGATTCTGTTTTATGTGTTATATAGCAAAAATATTTTTAACAACAAGAATATCATGAAGAAAGAACCTAATTACCTCCATGGAAGTTGAAGCTGTATCTTCTTCCACTGCTTGAATTGCCACAATCAAATCTTCCGGAACTCCTAAATCTTTTTTCTTTTCATATCAACTTTTAAAATGTAAAGCATGCTACAAATGCGATAATAGTGAATCTATAAGTTTATTAATGTATAATCTGACAAGTTTAATGAGTGAATCTCAATGGAAGGCCTGAAAATGGCCACTCTGATTGTGCTGCTGAAGCAAAGACTATGCTTTCCTTTGAGGTGATGCCACAAGTAGTGAGAAATATATATATATATATATATATATATTATGATATCACCACTCAGAAAAATAAGGCTGAATCACCCAATAAAAACTGTGACAAAGTCGACCATAAGGACTTTTAGATTGAATTTGAAATCAAACTCAAAAGCGAAACACACTGCATTCTCAAAAAACAAAAAAGTGAAACAGGATGCTCTTCGAATATGAATTGAGAATGGGTGACATGTTCCATATTTAATCCTACCAAATACTTATATACAAAAAATTCCCTACATTATTTCAATTACTTAATACCTAAATCACCATTAGTACTGAAAACAACCATCTCATCAACAATTTATCTTCGAAGGAACAAACTTCAAATGAACACGTACAAGTTTAAAGAAAAAATGAAAGTAGATGTTACCAGTAACATAGTAAGACAAGCATTACTAATTTCATGATTGCATATGTGCTGCAGAATGTCACATCTACAGTCTGAACTAATACACACAGATCAAAAGCATACCTATATAATTTTAGCAGGCACTCTTTGAAGCTAGATCATGAACTGAGATCACATGCTTCCAGATGTCCTAGCTAGGAGTAAAGGTTGCGCAGACCCTTGTATTTCTTATAATACTGAGTCTCCCCCATCCACCCCTCCTCTCCATTTCTCTCTGAACCCAGCTACAAAAGGGCAGTCTCATATGAGCAGGCCTGTAATATTTACGTTTGACATTAAGGAAATACCATAGAAACAAATAATATAAAGCAATTTGTAGAAGGATCAAACTCACCCTTAAAGCCTATAAATCTTTGTTGGTTTCTTCTGAGTTTCCATAAAGCCACCACAATCCATCATCGAAATACAAGGGATAGTTGAATGAACGAGCCTTGAGTTATCCTGATCTGTATTCAGACTAGGCTTCAGGATGTGCTTGGCACCAGCACTTAGTTTAATGGGGCCATATCTTATGCCATCCACTTTAGAAAGCTCCACTTCCCGTGATGTACTAAGTTCATTGTTCTGGAACTGAGTTTGGATAGATTGTTCACTGCTTCTTTTATTGCTGCCTGACTCTATTTTTCTAGCATCATACTGCATATTGCTACTATGGATTTGTATTCCCAATCCTGTTGCAGAACCCAAGTCGTCTTCCAATCCTAGATGAGGTATCTTGGTAGGTTTGCTTGAATTATCTTCTGTAGTTGCAGGTCGCTTACTGGCTTTGTGGTAACGATCCATACATTTGACCCCAAAGCCTTTTGACTTCATTCTGTTTCTTACCTTCTTTCTGTTTCTGTTGCTCCAACTTGCAGAACAATTTGGTTTGATGCCGACAGGGGCAGAAAGATGTGGGGAGTGATTCGTAGATGCTGGACCAAGTGGACCTTCCATATATGAGGGAGAGGTTGTGGAATTGGGAGGATAAGAAATAACAGGTGAATGATGTGTGGATGGCGTAGTAAGGAAATTAACTCTAGTTGTTTGGGGATGGTCTTTACCAACTGCTTCAAGAAATGGTTGGGGGCTAGTATTTGTTTTTACTTGCTGTGTTGCATGTAGCAACCATGGGATCAAGCTGTTGGAGGAGCTTTGTAACAACAAAGGTTGCACATGTTCACTAGAATCTGGGTGCAAAAAGGGAAAACTAAAAGGTGATTTCGTCACATGAGAGCGGTTCTGCTTGTATTTTAGTTCAGCTGGAGAATAATTCATATGATGACGAACATTCTGAGTAGCAGACAGCATGGGTTGTTGAGAGCTGTTTCTTAGAGTTTCAGCTCCATATGCAACAGGCTCCAGGACCCTCTTTAATATTGCTGGGGAAGTGAAGGAAGGACCAACAAGATGAAACCTAGAACCAGGATTGACACTATCAATTGGGCTGCCATTTTGAAATACTGCAAGGGTCTGCCACTTGGGATGCGATGAAAGAAACTTGGGAATTTTTGCTTCTGCAGCTTCAATGAAAGTATTGCTTTGTACAGCTTCATGAGTTGGATTCTCTTTTGATTTTTCAAGTACTGGGTGCAGGAACCAGTCCTGCAGGAAATGCACCTTCAATGAGGAATTGTCAGTTGCTGAATTAATAGGCTGATGCCCTGCTAAGATTTCATTATCAGTTATAACCTTTCTGCCATCACATTGTTTGGTCTCTGCGTTACATCTACCAACAGCAACATCTTTACCCATTAACCGCATTGTTGGCTGGCTGTTATTTAGGAACATATAATCTGAGTTTTCTCTTGATTGAATAATTCCATTTCCATTTTGATGTTGGACCTGATCATGCTGTCTGACTGCATTGAACGAGTTGTTCATCTGTCTGGGTTTTGGATCCAATGAGCAGGAAAAGTTATTGTTTCTCGTCTCATAATTCAACAAGTTGGCACCAGCTTTTTCAGTAAGTCCCTCATTAACTCCTAGTCTCGCTGGCAAATATACAGTGGGTTTCTCTTTCCTACAAGTATGCACAGGAAACAGATTCAACTGATCTTCTGGAACTGCTCTTTCAACAAAATGCTTCCCTTTTGAATTAGAAAAATCTTCCACACTACTAGGAAGGAGAGAGCCACACCCAGTTAAGCTACTGGAAGATCCTGTTGTTAAGCCGGAATACTCTAACTGGTTAAATCCTCTAACAAGAAATGAATTTGTCTGGACTAGTTCACCTTGTGAATTGAGAGGCAAACCCAGAAAGCCCTCCTCCATGTTCTTTTCTCTGAAAGTAACTGCTCTTTCCTTCCATTCTGGAAAGGGAAATAAGCTACCCATCAGTTCCATTGATGACTGACAACAAAATGGTTCATGCTGCATTTGAGTGGTACTAATATTTTCTGTAGCAGACTTTGATAAGTGCGGATCCCTGTTTGGAATTCCGCTGCAGGCAAAACCAGATGATGTAAGTTGTCGAAACGGCCATGTATTTTCCTTTGAACTGATTGCAGGAACCCTATGGGTACCGTCATCAAAACAGTCAATCGACTTCCCACTGGAACTGGAACTTTGGGAAACATGTCCAAAAATCTGAGAATTTACAGGGGGACTACGTACTCCTTTTGTGGTAGAAAGATGTCTAGGATTAACAGCATATGAATCATTACATGAAGCAGCTCCATTGCTATGATCAGCCATGTCCAAATTATAATTGCACATCACAACTTGAGATGGGGGAACAGACTTGTTCAATATATGTCCTCTTTGCTCTTGACAACTGAAATGCGTCCTCACAAAATATGGTATCTCAAAATGATCACCAGCATCAGGTAACTTTTCTTTTCCAGTCATGGTTTGGACCTTACTTTCATTTTCTGGGCCGATATAGTTGTCATCATGATCACTTTCACTTTCTATAATGGTGACTAAATTTTTATCACTGTGAGTAAATTGATCCTTCCTTGACAATGGAGCCAAGGCATCTGAATGTAAATTGCAGACACCATGTTCAGAGGAAATAGGCTTTTTCCTTGTACCAAGCATGCCATTCTGATCAGAGAACCTGACATGCTTATCAGATTTTTGAATACTGAATGATTTGACCATACTAACAGTCTGCATATTGCAAGTTGCAGCATTCTCTCCAGACGAAACTTTTCTTTTACTCTTTAGGATGCTGTGAACTGGCAATTCTGGTTTCAAGACTTTGGAAGATTCAACTTCTTTGTTCTTTTGAGTAGCTAAACATGGCAGAGCTGTCTTTTGATTGTTAGCAACAGCACTAAAGATGCCCTCTACTATCTGTCTGGCATGTGCGGAACCATTTGTTTTTTTGGAGAAATTGACTTGATTCTGCTTTTTGAGGCGACACGTGATGTCCTGAAACAGACAAAAAGTTAACACGGCTAATGTTTCCTTTTAGAAAAGACTTATCCTTACCATATATCTTGTCGAAATATAACAATTGTTCCTCTTATTTTTTTAAAAAATAACAATTGTTCCTCAACATGAGAAATATAAAAACTTCCTTAAGAATCTCCGAGAAGTGTAGGGGGTTAGATCATAACAAACTCAGTTTGTTCATTTCTGGTTATAAGGTGCTAACACATTCCCTATTTATAGAAGTCCCTGTAATTAATTCTCTAACAAAACCTCTAGGTACTGTCCTTCTCAAACATAACATCCCCTCCCAGTTAACAAGCCCGTGCGCACAAGGGTAAGTTAATCAACTCAAATTTCCTGACTCTCTCACTCTTCCTATTTCTGTTCCTTCAGTAACAGGCACAGCCTTTCCTAGAACATGATCATCAACTTTACTGTAGAAACGTCATGATCATCACTATGATGGAAGACAGGAAAGACCTCATCCTTTCTGTTCAAAATGATCCAAACATTATAAGGTGGAAGTCCAGTAGATGTCCTTCTGAAGATGTTGAAGAATCCAGAACTTGCAATAGAAACTCCATGCATGTGTTATATAGCATTCTAACATCATCAGAATAACTAGCTTGTCATATAAATATCGAACTAGATTACCATAAGGACCCATCATCAACAACATATCACAGAGCAAGAACGAGCACTGCCCTTTCCATGTTATGGTATCTGCTCTATACAAAGGGCTAACGACTTTGACGGATTAAATGACATGGTCTTCTGTGTATCAGCTATTCTTTGATTAAGGGTGAAATCTTGAATCAAGCAGGCTGTTTGCTTCGCTGATTTCTCCCCCTTATAACATATGGTGAAGTGTGGTTTAGGCCTTTCTAGAGAGAATCATAGAATCTCCTTGACTTAGTTACTCTAACACCATGAGGAAAATATTTCATATGTTTTTTTTAATTACTATAGGTATGAATATATAGATATATATGCAAGGCCATGGCAACTAGCCTCCCTAATTTCTATGATCTAAACCCAAGATATGTAGGGTTTTAAACAAGAGGGAAAAAAAATCTAACCTAAAATCATACAGATTCGAATTATCTACAGTCATGTTATTATCCATGCCAACAGTACCAGGATTGTTAAGCACTCAAATCATTTATTTCAAAAATGAATAAGTTTTATTCTTAAGCAGTATTTTAAAATAAATATTGAATCACCTACTTATTTATTGGGTCTCTGCATTCCTAATATGATTGGAATACTTAAATAGACAACCTTAATAAATAAGACTTCTTACTAATATGAAAGGAAATCCTATACCGGTAATTAGCCTATTTTAATAGTTTTAAACAGCAAATACCTATAACGCACAAAAACTACA